AGCTTGGGGGTGAGGCCAGGCAAGGCTCCCAGAAGAGGTGGGCTAACCCAAGAGGAAGACAGTGAGAAGAGTGTGTGGAAAGGGCACGTCTCCCCTGCCTCCCCCTCTTCCACGCTGGCTCCACTGTGGGGCAGGCACTCACCCAGGACGTGCCCCTCCAGCCCTGGGCTACTCATCGGGAAACCACCCCCCCTTACGCCCCTCACTGCAGACCTCGGGTTCCTGATGCTCCTGTCGACTGCCCAACATCCTTCAGGACTTATTAGCATCCGAGTCATTCCCTGGAGGAGCCTTACTTTGTTCTCGGGGTCAGAGAGGATGCTGTCCTGCTGAGTCACAGTTTCCATGGGACTGGTCAGGAATGGATCCTCTTCTAAGCGGGCCTCGCCACTGTCTGCCTTCTTCATGGGAATGGCGGTGGGTGGTGGCTGCCCAAACTTGATGTTCTTGCCCAACTGTCGCTGGAGAGAAACGAAAGAGAGATGTTCTGAAGCAGTGAAGCGGCTCCCAATAACCATGACCCGGCTCCCCAGCGTGCCCAGCAGGCCCTGAGGCGTACTCCGTACAGGGCTAGTTTCTAGACTAGACAACACCCCAGCAAACCCTGATGCCACCCACAGTGACCGATCCTGTCTAACAGCTTCTCCTTCTCTTTCCCACCTTCGAGCCATGAGCCATCCAGCCACCTCTTTCCTGGAGATGCCAACATTTCCAGGAGGGTAGAGAGACCGTATTTCTGAACCAAAAGTCGGATATGACAAAAATTTTTTGATTAACCTATAAATTAATTTATATCAAAGTCTTTTAAAGGTACAAAAACTGAATAGAAAATAGTTTCATGAAATGCAGGAACCACTAGGGGAAATCAACACCCTTGTGGCTGCACAGACAAGGGAACCCTCCAGCCTCTTCTGGACACACTCCTCTTGAATACTTATGTTTCATCTACTTCCGTCACCAGCCCCTAGCTTGAACATCATGTCTGGGTCACAGTGGGTACTGCTGGCGAGGGGAAGAAGGCCCCAGGGTCCGCAAGTCTTGCCATGATCGATGCTGAATTCACAGAAAAGAGGACAGCAGTCTTAAGGAGAGGGCATGGCTCAGTGGTAGAGTGAATGTTTAATACGCACGAGGTCCTGGGTTCAATCCCTAGTACCTCCACTAAAAATAAAAATAAAAAGGTGAGCGCAGTCTTGTCCTGCTACTAGGACGTCACCTTTGCCTTGCGGCAGCTACCTACTGTGACCTACAGGCCAGAAGGAGCCAAGTGGAGGAAGGGCCAAAGAGGGGCTGATCCCTGGTGGGAGGGCACTGAATAGCTAGGGAGAAAGGAGGAAACACAGGGGATAGAAATTAGGAAGGTAAATAGTATTTAGAATTAGAGAAAAGCCAGACCTAAAAAGGAAATGAATTCTCTGGGGAAAAATATATAAACATAATAGCTTATGAAGGGGCAAGATATTTCATGGGCTAGATACATGAGATATAAAATATTTAATGGGTAGAGAAAGCAAATGACTCTGGAAGAAAAAGAGGGATGTCCTGGTCGTCTGAAAGGCTACTGAATTGAATGTATTATACTAACTACTGCCTTTCTCTACCTCAGGGCTCA